CTGGAATATTATGCATTTTATTCAGAATAAAAGCCAGAATCCAAAAAACATCACCAGCGAACAAAACTAGGTTTAATCGTGAGAGGTAAAAATTAATGTGAAAGAACCGATAAAACTCTTAAGGCCAAGTTGTATGTATATGCATAGGCACATGTATAGTATTGCAGCTGTTTTGTTATCCTATAGACGTCTTTTGGTTATTTTACTTTAAATTTTGATTGCTGTCTTATTTACGAACATCCCAAATTTCCTTTTATTTATATAAATGGAGTTGTTAGGAATCTGCCAAAGAGACAAGAAACCACCAGAAAATACATGTAAAGATTAATATATATGGTATTCAACATTAAAAACAATTCAACAATAAGCGTGTAAACCATATGTCAAGCTCTGAATCCCCACGTGTCTAAACCATTTGCCAAGCTCTAGATCAACAGGTGTCTAAACCATATGTCAAGCTCTGAATCCCCACGTGTCAAAACCATTTGCCAAGCTCTAGATCAACAGGTGTCTAAACCATATGCAAAGCTCTAGATCAACAGGTGTCTAAACCATATGCCAAGCTCTAGATCAACAGGTGTCTAAACCATATGCCAAGCTCTAGATCAACAGGTGTCTAAACCATATGCCAAGCTCTAGATCATCAGGTGTCTAAACCATTTGCCAAGCTCTGGATCAACAGGTGTCTAAACCATTTGCCAAGCTCTAGATCAACAGGTGTCTAAACCATATGTCAAGCTCTGAATCCCCACGTGTCCAAACCATTTGCCAAGCTCTAGATCAACAGGTGTCTAAACCATATGTCAAGCTCTGAATCCCCACGTGTCTTAACCATTTGCCAAGCTCTAGATCAACAGGTGTCTAAACCATATGTCAAGCTCTGAATCCCCACGTGTCAAAACCATATGCCAAGCTCTAGATCAACAGGTGTCTAAACCATATGTTAAGCTCTAGATCAACAGGTGTCTAAACCATATGTCATGCTCTAGATCAACAGGAGTCTAAATCATATGCCAAGCTCTAGATCAACAGGTGTCTAAACCATATGCCAAGCTCTAGATCAACAGGTGTCTAAACCATATGCCAAGCTCTAGATCAACAGGTGTCTAAACCATATGCCAAGCTCTAGATCAACAGGTGTCTAAACCATTTGCCAAGCTCTGGATCAACAGGTATCTAAACCATTTGCCAAGCTCTAGATCAACAGGTGTCTAAACCATATGCCAAGCTCTAGATCAACAGGTGTCTAAACCATATGCTAAGCTCTAGATCAACAGGTGTCTAAACCATATGCCAAGCTCTAGATCAACAGGTGTCTAAACCATATGCCAAGCTATAGATCAACAGGTGTCTAAACCATTTGCCAAGCTCTGGATCAACAGGTATCTAAACCATGTGCCAAGCTCTAGATCAACAGGTGTCTAAACCATATGCCAAGCTCTAGATCAACAGGTGTCTAAACCATTTGCCAAGCTCTGGATCAACAGGTGTCTAAACCATTTGCCAAGCTCTAGATCAACAGGTGTCTAAACCATATGTCAAGCTCTAGATCAACAGGTGTCTAACCCATATTTCAAGCTCTATATCTAGAAGTTTCTAGAAATATTTCGAATTCGAATTGTTACAAACTACCAAGGACCGATTATCTGCCGTCAACTCACAATTCTTTAAAAGGACAAAATACCCAAAGTAAGACGTGAGTGAAGACCACCACTCACAACAATATTCTCTCTGATAGAGTGAATTCAGGTAGCCACATTTTAATGTTTTTGTTGTTGTTGTTTTTTGTTGTTTTTTGTAATAAAAATGTGGCATGTTTGCCAATGAGACAACTGTTCATCTGAGAACAAAGTTACATAGATCGTTGAATTTCTTACGAGAGGTATCTTGCATACGGAAAACCTGGCGGCGATTTAGAGTAAGGGAAGACAATAATTCAAAAGCAGTTCCTTTCCTGAAGATTTGGATAAAATAAAGGATTTTCCTTTAAAAGAACGTCTATGTTCACATGTATTTTTAGTAAAAATTAGCGATACAGTTATACAAAACGTGTTCATCTTTTTTTTCTAATTTGAAGGATCATATGACTGTAAATAGAATTAAACGGATTTACTGAGTTTATCCATTAACTGTTATAATAATTCATAGCAATAATGGAGCAAATCTGCTATTTAAGTTGTATATTGCTTTGGATTATTTGTTTGCAGTGCAATAACAGGCTAAACGAATGACTATGCAGTCACACATCAGACATCAATAATGATACTAATTGCAATATTTATCAGCATTTTAATCAACGTATTATTCAATCTTTCTTTTGCGATTTTTATAAACGAATTACACGGAGAGAAAAAACTCCCTTCGTTTGCCAAGAAAGTTATTGATTAATTAAGGCTTTTTTTCATCAAAATAATCCCATTCGATTCTGAAGTTGTGCATCAATTAGATTACATAGCAAGAGATATCTAACTATGTACTATTAAACCGCTATAAACATAAGGTTTACTTTTTTGTAGATACACAATTGAGAGCCCTTTGTAGAAAGGGACATTAAAAATTTGAACTCTATTTTTATCCTTTTTTTCATTTCCAAAGAGTATGCAAAGAGACAGTCTTTACTATAGCTGAGGTATGTTTTTTGCAAAATATTGATACTTGCACGCCAAAAAGTTGAAAATGATAAATATTTCATTTTTTAGCGAGTGTATAGCTGACAACGTTTACTATATTTGATCAAGTGCGGAAAGAGGGATTTGAAGTTTCCTTTTATTACAGTGATCAGAAAATATGTCTTTAAATTCCGCATTTGGAAGGGAGGTGGTTTCTGTCTTGTCCACGTACAGTATGGATTGATTGAAAACCCGTTCTTAATTAATATCAATAGAGGTAAGTCCAATTTGGATTGCTTATAATACAAATGTATGAATTTGTGACGTTTGTTTATAATTTTATTAATTTTTGTCAACTACCACTTACAAAATACTAACCACAATAATGAAGAAAATACCCATTTGTCATACATTTTGACATGAAGACTCTGATAAGTAATTTTATTTATTACATTGGTAGCATTGAATTACATTGATTTTCCAGTCAAATAAAAACCGATAATTTCACATGTGAAATAAACGTGGTTATTTCACTCTCTGCCGTCATACAACAATAGGCGTTGTCAAGACGTCGATAACGTCGGATCAAAACAAATTGTGAATGCGTAGAAAAAAGATATAGTTCCTCTCATTTTCTACATTAATTTCATTAAAAAAAGCCATTTGCCAATGTAATAAAAAGAATAACTAATCAAAGAATTCAAATATCGAAAAATATTCAACTCGTGACCGAACAACACTGATAATTAACTCATGCGCTACGCGCAATCGTGAATTTATGTGTTGTTCGTTGAATATTTTTCTTTATTTGAATTCTTCGATTAGTCATTCTATAATTCTCGTATCACGGCTTTGAGACTTGAGCAGACATTATCAGCGACGTCACAATGTGTGAGGAGACGTTATCAAGCTTTCTTTCTTCAAGCGTAAAACTGTCTAAGGGTGAGGAAAAGACCAGTAACAGAACGATGAACAAATTATCGGGTTTTCTACTTATAGATATCTTATAATATCAGCAGCTCGACACAACGTGAAATGTTTTGCTCGTTTGCTGCGCTCACTCGCCAAATCAATGTGTAGACAACCAGATAATCTATACCTAGCACAAAGATCTAAAGGAGATAACGATTATAAAGTTTGGTATGAATATCATTTGTTTGCTTTTTTGTTTTTGTTCTCTTCATATGGATTTTGTGTTGTATTACTGTAAGCTGTGTTTTTCTTAAAGCGTTTATTTAGAAAATCGACTGGGAAGTGCAACAGTAATTATTAAATTGTTAGGAGGCATTATCAGCCTACGATTCAAAGTTATGTTGATATTATTTATTAATATTTTTGTTATTATTGTTATTATTTTGATCACCATCTATCAGTTGTTGTGATTACAGTTGTGTTTTATGGTCTATACTTCTGTTTTGCACTCATAAGGATCGATATATTGGGGGTGTTTGACTATTTTTGATTTGTTTAATTCTGTCGCCATGTCACCATGCTAAACAAAGGTTATAATATTGATTAGTATCTTGTATTTAAAAGCAGGTCGGTTACATAATGTTTTTCACAAATATAATTATTACACACAAATGGAAACATTTAGGATAAGTTTAGCTTCAGAGATTTTCAATGCGCACTCCCAGATCTTCAATGATGATCACCTTCGATATTTTTATATTAATTCTGTAGAAGGGAACCACACGAAGATAATGTTTGCAACATAAACTGGTTTAAAGCAGTGAGATCGATTATTGTAAAAACAAATTTTGTAAAGTGTTTCTGGACATTTCGATTGGTTGACCAGGAAAATTATTGAAAACAGAATAAACTTAGAATAATTGTGTCTAACGTAGGTTTCCATTGAATCAGAGAGAAATAAGAAATCATATAAATTTCAGTGACCAAATATATAAAAATATCTGATCCTTATGGTAGACAAAAGCCAACTTTGCAGTTTTACCCTGAATGATGTACACCTCTGAGGAGCCAAAACTATCTAGAATTAAACTTTTTTTTAACCTAATTTTTGGGGTTTATATGACTGTAAGAAAACAATTAATGAAGAAAAAATCATATGGTGGTGCACTTTTTATTTTAGCTACGGCCATTTGAAAGTACCCCATTTTTAATGATTCTCCCATGTTTCATCAATTTTTACCCATTTTTGGGCTATCATGAAAAAATCAGTTTCAAAATTTTTTTTTTTTCATACTTTCAATTAAGATGAAGTGGACCAATCTGAATAAATTTAACTTTAAAAAAAACTATTGTTGGTGTTAATTTTAGTATTATAAAATTTTGTTGCTTTTTCGTGTCATATTATTTCAACTTCTAAATTATAAATAATTGAAAAAATACATATCTAAGAATTTTGAGAAAAAAAATTGATATGGGATGTTCAAATTTTTGTAAAATCATTTTTTTTGTACCCCTCATACATTTTCTCATCATTTTGGCTGATGACACTGACCGGGTTGATTATAAAATTTGAAAATTTTATTACTCAAAAACTGCTTATTGTAAGTACACAATTTTTCACAGAGTTTAGTTTGATTATAATATTTTTTTTCAAATTCATTAATATTTTCCACTTGTATCACATGTTTTGGAAATAATTCCCGAACGAAATTTCAACGAGAATGAAACATTAGAAGAATACATTCTTTATGACCTTATGTTCATTACTAATTAAGTTTTACGGACGCCATCATAATTTGGTTGACCGTTATGGAATATCTGTGTCGCATAAAGATATATTCCTTTTGTTGTAGTCACAATCCAATACTCTTTTCTTCTATTATGACATCGCCGAATGCGACTTACCACCGACCTTTTACTTGTCATGAGCATCATAATGTGTGCCACTAATGTAACAGGATCTGCTTACCATTTTTCCCGATTTTGGTAGAAGTTCGTGTTGCTCAGTCTTTAGTTTTCTGTGTAGTGTTTTTCGTCGTTTTATTTTTGGTATTGTATTATCGATTTTTCAACTACTTATCTTTTTTACTTCCCCTTCGTATCTTTGTTCTCTTCTAATGACCGTGCCCGAAAAAATACGAGAGGTGGGTAGATTTGATGTTAACCAGTCAGTTTCCACCAGGAAAGATTTTCTTATACCTTCAAAAATTTAAGAATTTGGACATAAACATCGGTAGTAAATTTATACCCTGCTCTAACTTCCTCCTTTTATTCTTATTTATTCATACATGTACCAAATATCCTTATTTTTTTAATCAAGAGGGATAAATCATTAGTTCGACGTTTCTTCCTAAAATGTATTCAGTTTTGTCAGTGTTATATTTAATTATTGGATTTCAGAATGACTGAAGGACTGACCCATATGGATAATCATGTCTCAGTCAATGAGGGCCGAGTGCATAAAAATGACGATGGACGACAAGTTATGTCAACAGCTCAATTTGGCATAAAAAAGAGATGAGTTAACGAAATTCCCCAATGATAAACATGCTTATTTCCATATTATGATAAATTTACATTTTTGTAGGTTTAAACAGAGAAGGAAGTGAAGCAGCAATTGAAGACATTAAACTAGATCGATCGGGATGATTGTTTGCATGTGTCGTGCTATGTCTCCTCGTTTGGTTGGAAGTGTTATCAGATGTCAAAGGTTTATCGTCTGATACTTTAACATCAGATGCGATATATTTCTGAGTTGATTTTACAGATAGGTTTCTTTCGAATGAGGCAGGTTCTTTGACTTGTCCACGTCTAAAAGCATTTCTCATATTACTGTTCCGAAATAATGATCCATAAAGGGATGAACTTCTCGTTGAGTCATTCCTCCTTATACTAGCACTATCAGCTGACGTGTTTGTTGACAACTCTGATTGAGGATATATATCGCTGTAACGAGGTGGCAGTTCAAGTTTTGTATTCCGTTTCCCACTGAATACAACAATATGGTACTCTTTACTTGCCTGTCGCAGTTCCACTGTCAATTAAAAAAGATAATAAAAGTGAGAATATTTTTGAAATTTATCACCAAAGTTTTACTTACATGAGCAACACGACGGAAGCCACACGTTGAAGGAGGATTTGCTTACCCTTCCAGAGCACCCGAGACCACCACCAAATGATTTGATGGTTTTCGTGTTGTTCTTGTTATAGTTTTATGTGTTGTTCTTTGTTTTTAAATTGTTGCATGTTTGTGTTGTTTATACCGATGACATTCTTGTCTATCCGTTGTTAAGAACAGCGTTTCATGACCAATGATAACGATGGTTGTCTTGCGATTGGATATGAATCAATTGCCAATCCGCTATTGCGTGATGCCTAATCTTTATATAACTTATCAACGTAGTTTTTGATAATAACGTGACGGTTGTAAAATATGGAGCAGGATCTGCTTACACTTCCGGAACACATGAGACCACCCAACGTTCTTTGTGAGGTTTGTGTAGCTCAGTCTTCAGTTTTGTGTGTTGTGATTGGAAGACTGTTATTTGTCTTTCTGTTCTTTTTTTTGCCATGGCGATGTCTGTTTGTCTTTTGTTTTTTGCCATGGCGATGTCTGTTTGTCTTCGACTTATGTGTTTAAATATTCTTTTTGGTATCTTCTGCCCTCTTTTACTAACCTCGTAAATAAAGTAATATTATGTCAAAATATGTCCCTTTAACATATATCACATACTAATAGAATAAAATGATGAAACAACTTAAGTTCTTTCAACTTCAAGCAAAGCAAAACAAAATATTAAAATTTACTTCAAGACTTCTCTTGGTTGACCAACTCCCCATGTATTTATTCAATTTGTCTGCCCTACTTTTGAGCGTTCCTGGTGAAGAAGCACCATGAACACAACAATTTGGATTTCGTTTCAATTTCATATATTACAATTTGGTGACTTCTGATGGGCTTATATCGATTTGTAGCACTCCAAAATATAATATTCCCAGTAGTCGATTGTTAATCAAAGGTCATTATCATATTGCATTGCATGACAATTTTTCTAATAATTTTTACCAAAACGTAATGCTGCAACTGCCTTAAGCTAAGTTGACAATAAATTTTAAGGTTTAAAAGGCCACTTTGGTCTCGGACTACTACTCTACATGTATTCACACATCTTTGACATTCCTTACGATTGGCGCTTTCGTTTCCATACGAAGGTCAGAAAAGCACACACAACGTTGGAAGTTCTGTATCTTTCAGTTTGTTTATATCTTTCGTATGAATTTGCACATCATGCAGTAAGAAGGTTGCAATATATTGTTTGTAACCAGTTGTGCCAATAGTATATCAATATTTAGTTATAAAATGTCAATTGTACATACATTGTATTTAAATCTCAACACAAAGCTATTTCGTTCATTACTTTAATTGTGACATGTATATGCAGATATATCCGCTATACAGATGCATATTACATTGCGGTGCTTTGCTTTTGCGCCAAAACAATCTTTCATTTGCGCCACAAACCATATTTCATTTGCGCCAAAATAAAACATTTCATTTGCGTCAATAATACAGGTAAATACAGGTAAATAGTACAAAAAAATAGTCTTTTAATATTAACTTCAAAACACAGTTTTTGATTGCATTATAAAGCATATTCCTCCAAAATTAGTCATCGTAACCACAATGAAAGCACTATACACGTTTTAAATAAGAGACTTTTCATAATAATGTTAAAACACAGTTCTGTTATAAATTAACGAGATCATAAAACCTAAATGAAAGCAATACACTGGAGTAAAACCAAAAGTTTGTTCTGACACAAGACTTGTAAGCAAAGGCTCGGATGTACTCGTGTACACTGGATAACCTATATATGTCATAAAAAATTACAGACTTATTTCCTCTATATAAAAATAAGGAGATGTGGTATGACATCTATCCACCAAAGTTCAAATGAAGTGGATGACAGCAATTATAGGCAACTGTACGGTCTTCAACAATGAGAAAACCCATACCGTATAGTCGGCTATAGACGGCCCCGACATGAAAAATATGAAACAATCCAATTCTGAGAAGACTCAAAATTGACAATGTTCATCTTGCAACTCAACACTATATAATTTTGAACCTAAGTGACTCTCAGTTTTATATTAAAAAATGAGTTCGAACTTACTTAGACTCTTAAAAAACATTCTTATGCACGATGTAGCAATGAATATTCTAAACTTTTCCGTTATATTTTCCTGTAATGTGGCGCAAATGTAGTTTTTATCTTTTGGCGCAAATGAAATATAACCTTGTGGCGCAAATGAAAGATTGGATTTTGTAAAAATTGGCGCAAATGCAATGCGCCCATTACATTGATAGCAAAACCTATTAAAGCATTTGTTAACTGCACGAGGAAAACAACGAGTAATCCCCGACATTTTATAAATTATACATTAGAGTATGAAACAGTCATGCGATTTGTGGTCAAAACGTGGAATTATGTTTAAAGTACTGAAAATTTCATTTTTTAATTTCTCTATTTCAAACATCATTGTCAATTATATCTTTAATATTTGAACCATGCATTGTGGCACCGTTAAAGTCCATAATTCCTCTAAAGTCCACTACACCGCTAAAGTCCACAACAAATTTCCGCTAAAGTCCACAACGCCGCTAAAGTCCACAAACTTTCCGCTAAAGTCCACAAAATGACCTCCGCTAAAGTCCACAAGAAAACGCCGTTAAAGTCCACAATAACAAGTTCCGCTAAAGTCCACAAAAATGCACCGTTAAAGTCCACACATTTTTTTTTATTATTAAAAACATCAATTCGTTTTTTTTTTTATCCCGTTAGTACAATACAAAGCATGGGCCTTTCTTCTCGGTAGTTATTTGTTTATCAGTTTGATAAATGAGAAAAGTACAGTATCTGTAGATGATTTTGTTCCATTAATTTTGATCTTTGTATTATGATCAGATGATGATGGCCAATTTGGACATCATTTCTAAAAAGTTCGTAAATTCGTTAGTTATTAACTTATTACATTATTACTGCATTCTTCAAGTACTGGTGTTTTTTTCTTATTCTTTGCATATAATCACTTTTTGACGTAACTAATGTACAAAGCAAACGTGCCTCCTAATCTATAACATTTGAACGGCATTCATTCGGACAACAATCTTGATTATGATTATAAAAAAAAAAAAAATACTAAGTATATGAATCCCCAAAGGTCTCCTGTCACAAAACTTTTAGCCAACGTTTAAAACGTTACTAATTTCGGTGTTGGTTATACAAAACAACGAAAAATAATGTGTTATGATTTTCAGAACGGAAAAATGAAGCCAGTATGATAAATTCTAAATAAAAAAAAAAATTCTATCATGCAATAAATTATATTTTTATCGATTAGTATAGGATATCGATGCGTTGAATGGGTGTCTACCAAAATGTCACAATAAAACCTGATTTGAGTACATTTCAATGAGACAGCAACTCAACAATAAATGTAATACATTTTTACACCACTCTTCCGGAAACCAAATTGGAAATTTAAATATGACTTGCATCATACTTGTATAACATTAATATCAGTTAAAATAATAGAATATTGATTAGTTTTTGACCTAAAACGAATTTACACAAAATTTCGCACAAAAGTGTATGTGCTGTACTGTTTCATCACTGTTCCAGGTTAGGGAAGGGTTTGGCGCCAGCAAAGTGTTTAACTTCGCCACATTCTGTATGTGCCTGTCCCAAGTTATGGACCCGTAACTCGTTGGCTGTCGTTTGTTGCTGTATATCATATTATTTTCCCGTTTATTGTTATGGAAAAAAATCAGGCCGTTACTTTTTTCGTTTGAATTGTTTAACCTTTTTTTCGTTTATTTCGGGCCTTTTAAAGCTTACCGTGAGGTATCGTTTGTGCTCATTATTGAGGGCCGTACGGTGATCTATAATGGTTGTTAAATTCTCTGGTAGAGAATAATCTCATCGGCAATCTTACCACATATTTTTCTATCAGTTAAATAATTTCCGAGGCCTGGTTTGCCGATCGATCTAAGAAGTATTATATCTACAGTAATCACTAGGATGTCAACACCGAGGTTGTAAATTCGATGAACCCCGCTCGAAGCAAGGGGGTTCGACTCCAATCCTTATTAACTACTTCTTTATTGTTCTGCACTTTTTTATCTAAGACAACATTTTGTTGTCTAATTCCTTACACTCACTTCATTTGAACTTTGGTGAAGAGTTGTCCCATTGGCAATCATACCACATCTCCTTATATTTCATAATGACTATTTACTTATTCCGTACTGTGTTCTGTGTACTATTTATCGTTAACACATGACATGGGTAAAATCTCTTTGTTCTTACTGTACTATAATCTGGATAATGCACAGCTAAGGCGGACCCTGGATTTTGAAAGGGATGGAACTTGATTCCATAAAATTAAAAAAAATATCTATTTTATAATATTTTGTGTACATTGTTAATCTTAAATGGGTGTTTCACAGTCAAACAGTTTACTTAATAATTATATTTTGTAATTTCTGCCAAAAAAAATGTGTATTTTAGAATATCAAATTAAATAAACTCTGATAGTTTTGTGTTCCATGGAATGAATGTATTACGACTATTTAGATATGTATACCTTTTTAGTGACTATTTTGCGATCGAATTTAATGAGGATCATTTTTAATTTTGTACCAAAACAGCGGGGGAGGGGGAATAAGCTGCAGATCCATTGTAAAGATGCGACATGTCTTCAAAAATGAATTCAGTAGACACAAAATAAAGGGGGGAGGGGAAGTCAAAGATTGAAAAATGAAACATTTTTTTCTGTTTACTTAATATTTTGAATTAAGGTACATTTCTCCTCAGTTCATCTTCTTCTACGCATATTATTGAGGGAAAGAAAGGCAATTAATCTACACCCAATAACCCGTTCAGTTATGATTTTTCATACACCGATTTAAAAGGTATGTAGCAAACTGAACTAAAACTGAGGAGATGTAGGTTATACGTCAATAAGACAGAAATCAAACGACAAAAACAAACTAATGACTACTAAAGGGCAACATGTAGTATAGTTTAAAAAAAAAAAAAAAAAGGTGTTTACACAATATGTCAATTTTTAAATCGTCACTAATTTATATAAAAAGTGTGAATAAATTTAACAGAAACGATGAAAAACAATCTTACATCAAACTGCAATTCACCAAAAAATGTAACAATTTAGGAAAAAGCCTAAATATAAAAAAATGTTAATCATTTAATACTTACCAACCTTAAACTGCATTACAGCGTATTTCCCCCTTTCTTTGCCCTACAAGAAACTTTCCTAGGAGCCGTGGATTGCGGAATATCGTCCGCATATTTCCAAAATGTTCACGTAAATTGATGACGTAATGTGTTAAAACAGTTAGTCGCCAATCAAATCGGTGTATATGGTTTAATCTGCACGGCTCGGGATGACCCTTTAACCCGAACTCCTACGTCGTTCTGGTTAATTAGGGTCACCCGAGCCGTGCAGAATAAATCATATATACCGACTTGCTTGGTGAATAACTATAACAAAAAAACAAGAATGTGTCCATAGAACACGGATGCCCCATCCGCACTATCAATTTCTATGTTCAGTGGAACGTGAAAATGGGATACACACTATAATTTGGCATTACAATTAGAAAGATCATATCATAGGGAACATGTGTACTAAGTTTCAAGTTGATTGGACTTCAACTTCATCAAAAACTACCTCTACCAAAAACTTTAACCTGAAGCGGGACCGACGGACGGACGGACGAACGGACAGACGGACGGACGAACGAACGAACGGACGCACATACCAGAAAACATAATGCCCATAAATGGGGCATACAAAAATATACACACACTAGTTGTTTAACTTAGTAAAGTGTTTTAATCACATGCAAACTTAGTCAAACATTAATATGTATAAACTCACAAAACGCTAAATCTGTTCTGCAGTAACCAATAAAATTGTATTGATGAGAACAGAAACATTCCTTGATAGTATATAATTCGTAAAAGTTTCAGCTCAAAATTTCATACTAGTCTTCCATTTAGCCTTTTAAAAATACCAAAAAAAGTATCTTAAAAAAGAGAATAAAGAAAGGAAATTAACTCTGAAAGCGATACCGTGAACTTTAATGTGACGTATATTTTATCAATCATTATGCCTATAAGATAGTTCCACAATTGTTGGTGTTCGGGCTCAATGCAAGATGAACTTTCCTATTGCCTTTATCCTATATCCACACCCTCCAATGCTCATATACATATATTTTTATTAGTTCTGGATTTCTCATCACACAAATAAATCGGCAAGTGAATGTAAAAATCAAATAAAAAAAAATTCCAAAACATTTGACGGCATTTACAGTTGGATTTTCACAAATCATTTGTTGAAAGACGCAGAATTGTCTGAATATATAATTTTATTTGTTTATTTGGTCATAATTTTCTTCAGTTATTTTTGTTTTTCTCCAGATGCAAATCAAAATTTTAGAAAAATGTAAACTTTGTGTTATATCATCAGAAATTGATAATTAACGCTTCAAAATAAATATATTACCAAATAAACAAATAAACATATGAGAGTTCTGCTTCTATTGGTACCAATTTTGATTAAAATCTTACATGAAATAGTCCCTAAATATTTTTTATGAAAAAAACGTAAATTTTCATGATATATATAACAACATATTGTAGGTCACAAATCCTTCTGACCATTAAATTTTACTGGCTTGACGGTTTTTGAAGTAACGTTCCTAAATGCTCTAAAACTTATCTTCCAAAATATACATGTATGAACTTCCAATAACTTCAATTTCAATGAGCATTTGAACTCAATTTCATACTTAATACAGGGGATTAGCTCATAAAGTTACAATGAAGCGTCACTTTTGTATTTAGTTAACGTTTTAATTTCATTTTTTGACTCTTGGGGTAAATTTGACAAATGCACATGTATGGTCGAGCTCGTACTAGACCGTACGAGTATACTCATACGGTACGAGCATACGTTCGAGTATACTTATACGGTCCAGACCGTACGGTCCAAATACTCATATTGTCTGGAACATATATACATGTAGCACTGTTGAAATAAAAATGTTTATACTTGTACTCGATCATGATGATCATGGGTAATAATACGCATCCGCGTATAATTTATTCAATTCATCTTTCATTCTGAAACAAATACATTTTCCTTTTTGAAAACAAAACGAACATGCAAACCAATGAGTGATGAAAATCTGCTGAGCACCACAAAATGCATGAATGTGTGGAATTCTTTATCATTATTTTGATTTCATACAAGAATATTATGGTTCAAAGTCTATTTTTGAGATTTACGGACCGTTTTGGCTGCTGTGGAGCCTAACAGACACTGAATGGAAATCATTCTTATGTTTTATAGATATTTGCAAAGGAAATTTAAATGTCAAATATAGGCTCCAAATCATGTCAGTGTCTCCAGCATATACATAAAGAGAACGCTATGTTGGAGTTTCTTGTGGATGAACAAATGTTTACTAAAGAATAAAAAGAGCACCATAGCTAGATAACTTTTCAGAAATGTTGTCTGTTTGATTGATAGAAAATCGCAATACAAAGATCAAATTTATGGGGATCAAAAGCAGATACTATAATCTTTTCATTTATCAAAAATATAATTCAAGCTGATAAGAAATACTTTCCAAGAACAAAAGTCCATGCTTTTTATTAGATCTATATATACTATCGGGAGTAAAAAAAAGCGAATTGATCTTTTGATAATAAAAAAAAAATGTGTGGACTTTAACAGTGCTTTTTTGTGGACTTTAGCGGAACTTGTTATCATGGACTTTAACGGTGTTTTTTTGTGGACTTTAGCGGAGGTAATTTTGTGGACTTTAGCGGAAATTTTGTGGACTTTAACGGCGTTGTGGACTTTAGCGGAAAATTGTTGTGGACTTTAGCGGTGTTGTGGACTTTAGAGGAATTGTGGACTTTAACGGTGCCACAATGCATATTCATCAAGAAATACGAAATGTAAATAGTCGAATGAAGAATATATTTTCATGACTTTCCAATTACACTGTATATACCTCTTTTAATCGAATCCCTCCCGAAAATTAACATTTTGTTAATGTATTATAACAATGCACTATTTTAAAAAATAATTTATATATATGTTTTTCCATTTGGTCAAAAATTTACACATACCAGTAATTTTTTTTTAATCGCGTTTTTTAAATGACTCAACTTTCGTTTCTAGTAAATCTAGTATATGCTGTAGGTTTGTTTAGGTAAACAAAAATTTTTTATTTGTGTAAGTATTTTTACGACATTGTGTGATAGATTAAAATAGGAAGAAATACTAATATATTTAGTATAACTAAACCTTATAGGGGTACATATATACTCCTCTAATGGATTTCAAGATTTGTTTTAATCATTTATACTCACATAAATGTTGTTCTTGATTTTCCTGAGGTAAGAGTAGAGGTTTTGTGTATGCTGTTGTATGTGCTCTATAAACACAACAAACGATCAAACAAACCAACAACAATGCTACAGACACTATAGCTCCTACGACATATGGCAGTCTGGAGTAAGATTCACTGAAAACACAACAAATTATTAGTAACTATAGCCAACAAACCAACAACAATGCTACAGACACTATAGCTCCTACGACATATGGCAGTCTGGAGTAAGATTCACTGAAAACACAACAAATTACTAGTAACTATAGCAAACAAACCAACAACAATGCTACAGACACTATAGCTCCTACGACATATGGCAGTCTGGAGTAAGATTCACTGAAAACACAACAAATTACTAGTAACTATAGCAAACAAACCAACAACAATGCTACAGACACTATAGCTCCTACGACATATGGCAGTCTGGAGTAAGATTCACTGAAAACACAACAAATTACTAGTAACTATAGCAAACAAACCAACAACAATGCTACAGACACTATAGCTCCTACGACATATGGCAGTCTGGAGTAAGATTCACTGAAAACACAACAAATTACTAGTAACTATAGCAAACAAACCAACAACAATGCTACAGACACTATAGCTCCTACGACATATGGCAGTCTGGAGTAAGATTCACTGAAAACACAACAAATTACTAGTAACTATAGCAAACAAACCAACAACAATGCTACAGACACTATAGCTCCTACGACATATGGCAGTCTGGAGTAAGATTCACTGAAAACACAACAAATTACTAGTAACTATAGCAAACAAACCAACAACAATGCTACAGACACTATAGCTCCTACGACATATGGCAGTCTGGAGTAAGATTCACTGAAAACACAACAAATTACTAGTAACTATAGCAAACAAACCAACAACAATGCTACAGACACTATAGCTCCTACGACATATGGCAGTCTGGAGTAAGATTCACTGAAAACACAACAAATTACTAGTAACTATAGCAAACAAACCAACAACAATGCTACAGACACTATAGCTCCTACGACATATGGCAGTCTGGAGTAAGATTCACTGAAAACACAACAAATTACTAGTAACTATAGCAAACAAACCAACAACAATGCTACAGACACTATAGCTCCTACGACATATGGCAGTCTGGAGTAAGATTCACTGAAAACACAACAAATTACTAGTAACTATAGCAAACAAACCAACAACAATGCTACAGACACTATAGCTCCTACGACATATGGCAGTCTGGAGTAAGATTCACTGAAAACACAACAAATTACTAGTAACTATAGCAAACAAACCAACAACAATGCTACAGACACTATAGCTCCTACGACATATGGCAGTCTGGAGTAAGATTCACTGAAAACACAACAAATTACTAGTAACTATAGCAAACAAACCAACAACAATGCTACAGACACTATAGCTCCTACGACATATGGCAGTCTGGAGTAAGATTCACTGAAAACACAACGAATTACTAGTAACTATTATAGTAAGATTCATGTTTTGTAAGTCCTGGTGTATGAACTGAATGAACAAAAATGTACCTAACATTTTAATAGTGAAGATTTTTTTTTACCAAATACTGTTTCTTCTTTTTTTGGCATATTTTTATTGTACAATTGATGTACTTTTTTGTATTTGATATAAATTGATCGATTTCTGGTTTTGTTACTTTTTTCTATTTTCGAGAGCGAAGAGATTGTGTTTCAGTATGGCATTCCATATCACATACTTTCTTGTTTTGTTTTCCGTATGATGCATTACGTCCTCTTACTTGAGTCTACTTTGACAAAATATCTTCGGATCATTAGAAGTGGGTTTCTGAGAATTACTGTGACTTTGAGGATTTTCATTTTTGGAACGATATGCATTAACGTAAAAGTGCATTGAGGATGAAAACGAAAGATTCCGTAGCTCTTTAGATATCTTTTTAGTTTGTGTTTATTGAAAACTTTTGTTATTTAAATAAATGGGGAGTTTTTTTCTAAAAAAAAACATTATATTTAAATAACTCATGATCGCAAATGACTGACCTTGGCAATGTAATTTTGTTATACTATTCTGAATAATAGTTGATTAGATGTCTGTAACTTTATTACTGTTGATTGGTTTATTATGACACAACCGTTTATCATAAGTAAGCTAATTCCATAACTTGGGAATCGTATAACAGGTGATTCATGTGTAGCAGGAGAGGCTTTAACGTGTCGGCAAATTTGGTGCAATTTTGATTTTTTACTCCTGTTTGTCTGTTTATTCCTGTACTTAAGATGTTTCTACTGAACCTGCAACCTTCATATTCAATCGAATTCTGGTTGAACATGATAAAATCTATAATATAGACTTACATACAACATGGGTTTTTGCCTGTTCCACAACAAGATGCCGGACACATGATGATTTGCCCATAATGTGATCCGTTGTTATAGTAACAAACGTCACCAGCAATTACAACAACTGTAATATTTCAGTATAAACGCATTATAATTAAGAACATAAAACATATTGGGTTTAACGGTACACATTATGTAAGAATAAAAGTTGCAAATTAAATTCAATTAATTTCTAGATTAACGGGTACATGTATAAGTTCAGATGATAAAGGTTACAAAGAACAGACGTATATAAGTAAAATATATCGACATAGGACTGTACAGTAAAACACAGACGGCTTAAAGCTAAATATGTGGGTCCGTCCCCGTCAAGGTCTAACATCCCTATAAAACTACAAAATAGTTATCACGGAAATCGGTACGGTTTTGATACTTTACGCTCTAGTAGACGCTAGTTGGGTGACTGTCCAAGCCGTTCAACTATTGAGATTCATCCTTAAATCTGGAACAGGTTATTTCAAATATATTTAAGGTCTTACAATATATATCCCCCATTTGATAGCACTAACACTTCATTCATACATATGAATCAGAAAATTGTACAATAGTGCTCCTTTACTCATATATGTACGTGTTGGTAATTAACTGCAATTTAAGACATACCTGACGAAAGAAATATAATGCATTTATATATTTCCAACATTATCTTGTTTACAAAGCAATTGAGGTATACCCGTGTACACATTATTTTTAATAGGATTATTTTCCTACATCCTTTTTATATTTAAGTATGAAAAACAAAAACATATCACGATTAAATTTAATTTGACTCATTACTTTCCTTATACTAGACAAGGATACAGCATATAATACATAAGTGGAAAAGGAAAGTTAAACAGTAAAAAAAATATTATGAGTATTTTACCACAAAAATACATGTACATGTATCTGTTATTAATTTCTCGTGTGACTTTTGATGATAGGACAATTTTGAATACATGTATGAGTGATGATGCGGTTATGTTTTTTTTAAAAACATTAAACTGCAGACACCACTGTATTTGCTCCCCCCCCCCCCCCCCCCATTATATCATCTGAAATAAGAAATACAATCATCACAAAAAACACCTTCATATACTCATACTATCTGATCAAAGGTATACACTTATAAAAGTACACACATACAATAGTATTTAGGGTGAAATATTACCATAACACGTAGGAAGCAAGTCGAGTGTACTTGTAAGTAAACAGTTGCACATCTACTTACGTTCAACTTATCTATCAAAGTAGCAATACATGTAGCCAACTATATCAACATCCACCCAAACGCCATATCTGGAAAACAGAATACATTTTCGATCATCTTAGAAGCACACTAAAGCGAGTTTTATTCCTCTAGAAATTACAAGACACGTGACATAAATGCATTTCAAAGATAAAAGTAGACAAAGTTATTCATGCCATTTTGAAGAGTCAATCCCTTTCCCACTTTTTACAGTTCGTTCTTATGTTGAGCTGTTACACAACTGCCCTTGTGTTATAGAAAGGGATGAGAGCTAACAAGCATATCAACATACCTGCTACATTCTTTTAGTTTCTGTCCAAAGATTGTAATATTTCAATTGTTTTTCGTTAATTGTTTTGTCATAAATAAGGCTGTTGGTTTTTCCTGTTGGATTTGTTCCACATGTTGTAATGTCGGTGCATTTATAGCTGACTATACGGTATTGTTTTTCTCATTGTTGGCGGCCGTACGGCGAACTATAATTGCTTTCATCAACATCATTAGAACCCTCACGACTGGTTGATAGTTACCCCATCAGCAATCATACCACATCTTCTTACTTTTAATATATACAATAAATCTATATAAAAATACAGTAAATACATTGAAAGGTGGGAGTTTGAGTAGAGCTGACAAGCCAGTTAAGTTGCACAAAAAAAATCACTTGACACCGACATTCATAAAATGAAATATACAATGTATTTGCCCTTGCTATAAAACTGGAGAAAGGCTAACCGTTGAGCCGCTTTTTATTCATAGTTTCTTAAGCTGAGACAAATAAATTTCATATGTTCTGACATTGTACGTATTATCTTACTGTATTACTCAGGTGATATCTAAATCGACAAAGAGGTACAAAAAGAAAACGTACTGCTTCTGTTTTCTTTCTTCTTTTTCGAATAAATTAGTGGTTGCTCAAATCTCAATGTATGGTATTAAAACTAATTTTATAAAAATCTAAATTAGACCCTGGGTAAAATTGACTGAAGACTAATGCCTCGTTCACACGTACATTTAATTCGAATTGAATTCGAATCGAATGCGAATCGAATTCGCTAATCGCGTTCACACACTCTTCTTTTTTAATTCGAATTGATTCGAATTGGCTAAATCGCATTATCCAATTCGCATTAGAAATGCGTTTTTGTTAATACGAATTAAAAGTTAACGTCGTTAGGACAGTAAACCGAATTTGACGCGCATTTCAATTCGAATTAGAATTTACGTTTGGACGTTAAACGTTTCGAATGCGAATTAAACTAATTCGAATTAGTTAATGCGAATCGAATTCGAATTACGTGTAAACGCAGCATAAGTCCGAGGTCGATATACTTTCGTATCAACCTAATACAAAGGCTACAATTGTTATATTATTATTTTCAATACGCCTGAAAAATAATGATTGGTTGTTGGTTGCTTAACGTCCAGTGGCAAATATTTCATGTATGTTCAGGACGAGAACAAATCAACAATAAATACAATAGGTGGGTCCTGTAATAGAGGCCGTCCGGGATGAAGGTCGGGGAAATTTGGACTGCCACAGGAAAATGAGGGTACATTGGATAGGGACAGAAGTTAAGCCTTGCAAGAGGCCACTTACGGTCCCCTCAAAGAGATGTTGCAAGGGTTCTTAGCGTGCAAAAAAGCGTGGCGATCTCTTTACACGATGCATCGGTTTTAACGTCCCCATTCTATCCGGACGTTGCTGAACTTGTACATCCCGCACAGCCAAACGTCGGACGCCACACTTTGGCGAGGGTTTTACTGCCGGTCGGAGGAAGACGAATGGTGACCATATTTCTATTCATCCTTGGGGGTCCCTGAAATAGAGCAGAAAATTATTTGATTTGTTGTTATGATTGTGTCACGAACTATTGAGGGTTTTAGAGTTCATTTATTTTTAATATTTTAAAAATAACTGTGCAATTTCACTTTTCTATCTGCCATTTTCAGTCTACCTTTAAAAATACAGTTTAACATGACATTGTGACTCATTCTGAACGAATCAATTTCGTTGAAATATTCAAAATATATATAATCGGATTTAGAGTTCTCAACGTTCTCGTACTTTTGACAAGATTATTCTATTTAGTTGTTTAATACCGATTATTATATTAACATTCTACAGTTATTGCGAATGGTTCATCATTTAACTTCCGATTGAAACAATTGGGCTGAAGCAAATTAAAAACAAATCAGCTCTTCTTTTGGGCTTCTTAGATTTCTATTAATTTTTAATTTCGCTTCCTTGTAAATCTCAATACAAGAAAAGTACTTTTCAGATAATCGAATACAAGTAAATTGTGTTTTCTTGTAATTCTTACAAGTGATTACTATGGTTTTGAACAATTAAGCTTACCTGTTTTACTGTCAATAATAGGGAGAAATGAGTAAGTATTTTATGAGACATATATGCTGAGATGAATTTTAGAGATATAATTTTATAAGCTGATTAGGAAATTCAAAGTTATTTTTTTTTTATAATAAATCATATCTAAAGACTGTCTGCGGGATTACCGTTACCGCAAATAAATGAAGTTAAGATACAGAGAATGCAGACACATGCCCTGTGGAAAACGATCATGAAATACAGTCGTTTAATCTGATTCTTGTGCCAATTCAAATAAACAACTGTTACGAAATTAAAAGTAAAGTTAAACTATTATTTTTAAATTATGTTATTTTTTATGATGACTAGAGGGTTTGTTTGAGCCTGTATTTCGCCTTCTGATAGAAGAGATGAATTAACGTCTTATACATGTTTACAGTGAGCCTGTATCTCGCGTTCTGATATAAGAGATCAATTAACGTGTTATACATGTTTACAGTAAACAACATTGTTGATTTTAAATTGACATAGTTTTTACACTACCATAAACAGAAATAAACTGTGGTCAAAGATAAATGAGTTTAGTGATACAGAATGTTTGTGCTGCTATACAGTTTATTTGTACAATTCTAGATACACGATTTTTTTATTAGTTATTGGCTTTGATCTAGCTGTCGGTAACTGCGAGTACTCTCAGATCTGTACTTAATGTCCTAATTGTTGTTAGGGATGAGGAATAGATAAATACCCTGCCACGTCCGGTCTGTGTTTTTGTTTGATTGTTCTGCTTTGTAACGATCTGATGAGTTAAGCCTTTTTCAACTGATTTTCATAGTTTGTTTTTATGTTGGTCTGTTTCACCACTGTCCCAGGTTAGGGGAGGGTTGAACGCTCACAAACATGTTTAAGCCCGCAACAATCTGTATGTGCCTGTCCCAAGTCAGGAGCCTGTAGTTCAGTGGTTGTCGTTGGTTTATGTCGGTCATAATTGTTTTTCGTAAATTGTTTTGTTATAAATTTGGTTGTTAGTTTTCTCAATTGAATTGTTTCGGGGCCTTTTATAGCCGACTATACGGTATGGGTTTTTTCATTGTTGAAGACCGTACGGTTGCCTATGATTGCTAACAATCCACTTCATTTGAACTTTGGTGGATAGTTGTCTCATTGGCAATCATACCTCATCTCCTTATTTTTATATATATGTTCAGGACGATTAAACGGTCATTTATCAGAATGATTAATATCACCAATCTTTTTAATCTCTATATAAATGACATAGTTTCGTTCTTGAAATCATATGAGTGTGGTATTGATATAAATGATGAATTACCCTACGCTGATGATGTGACAATTTTAGCAAATGATGCAGTGAAAAAGAATAACAAACTCTTATTAGATTGAATTGCAACAAGAGTGATATTGGGCATTTTAGCATTTTGTGTAACCTTCTGTCGTTTAGTCACATTTTGTATTTAAATGTGAACATTACATAATTTGATACTATACCACTTATTCGTATTTAGGTTAAGTAATGGAAGTAATGTTTTAGATTATAATGTCACTACATGCTAAAGCTGTTGCAGCTTCTGCAAGTAGAACAGTTGGACTTTTTATATTTTAGCGCAACATTTTAGCCGACGTTATTTATAATGTATAATTCATGAAAGTTTGGTGCAACCAATGTTTTAATACGGTACTGGTGTTTGGGATTGTAAGAATACAACTTCTTTTATTTATGCCATACCTAATTAAGTGCATGTAGATTTTTCTTTTGAGTTGGTAAATATACTTTAAACGTTGCAGTTCCAGGGAATATGAGGTAGATACTCATCTTTCATAAACAATTGACACTTTTGGCAGATATTTTGAGTAGAAACTAGAGATGTATAAAACAATATGATTTTAAGAAGGAAAACATTTGTTTTTAGTACAATGTAGAATATTTGCGTAGAACACTACAGATTTGGAGTTGCACCATTAAGAATTAAAACATAGAGATTTGATAATTTATTTACGAGAGCGTGTACGTGTGTGGTAACTGTAAAACTATTGTAGGAAATGAAGCACATGTATTTTATTTTATCGTGTCCATTATATCACGATTTAAGGCAAACATATTTTTTGATGAAACACAGTATTTTCTGTCTTTTTGGTGATAAAAGGAAATTCGTGTTTTTATTGTCAGATATAAATATGATTCGTAGCTGTGCAAAAGCGTGTTTTCTTATTTTAAATACACGTAGAAATTTTTATACTTTTAATAATGTACATATACAAATGTTTTTTGTTCATAAATCATGCCCTTGTCTTTTCTTGTTTGAAATGTTTTACATTTTATCATATCGGGGCCTTTTATAGCTTACTATACTATACTTTGGTTATGACTTCATTTGCTTGGATTAAGTCGTTAATATTTATATTTGAAATAAACATAAAAACTTTGTTTACTTTGCAAAAGTCACTGAACCATGATGAAATGAATCCAAGACAAACTGACTTCAAAATTCAGAAAATATCTTCAGACCCAGGTACAGTTTTTGACAAAATAAGGATTGTCTAGCTCTTTTTCTGTATCAAATAAAATACTTTGTTTAGCAAGTATCCCGTGGTCACTTTCGCCTTACCATCATCGAAATTCCTTGCAAGCGAGACAAAAAATACAAAGAAGATAATTAACAATCACTTAAAGAAAATAGCGAAGACTTTCTGAAGATTTTTTTGCACTTTTGATTGATTTTTGAATCTTCTACATCCTTGTCCAAATAGCACATCACTTGTTCAAAAATCCATTGCAAGAAGTTCCCAATGATTTTTTTTTATTTGATAGGATTTTCACATGCTATATCAATTCTTGTTTGAGCATCAACAAGATTGTGGCACGTAATAATTTCGTTTTGAACAATTGAGAATGATTTTATAATATTTACTATCGATGATGAATCCCTGTAAAGTTTTATAGAGAAAATTTAGTTTTTTTGTGATTTATTTTTCTGTTTTGTTTGTTCAGCTACATGATCAAGAATCAAACTGACAAAGCCAAATTTTGGGTATACTATTTTAGATTTTTTCATGGATCACATTCTAAATGGTCACTAATATTTTATATCTATAATCGATATAGAATCATGAAAACTATATCTGAATTTAACTATCTTGGTAAATCTAGAAAGTGATTGTGGGAAGTCATACGTAATATCTCCATCAAACAATACCCCACAAAACATAAACTGCATGCTCCACACGATGTTACGATTAGTGACAAAAGCAATGAAAACTTCATTTCATATTCCAGTTCACTGCTTAGCAAATACGACTACCTACTAATTACATTTAATCATTTTGAAAAACCATTAATGTTGATATTGATCTAATAGCATTACGTATAGGTGATTCCTTTTGTAAAGAAGACCAGTCAGATAACTTTTTTTCTGTCCAAGTCGCTTATATTTTCATTTTGATTTCTGGAAGTTCAAAAGTTGAAATTGATATCAAGATGAGTTATTACAAGTACATTATTTTTACAATATGTTCCTTTGCTTTCTGGATAAAAAATGGGAACTTACTTTTGATAGATATATATGTAAAACAGAGCGGTTTCAGCGATCTTTTGTGTAATGAAGGCAAGGTGTTCAGTAAAAGTAATACTAGAGCAGTATTCAGATGTGGTAAATATTGTGCGTTAACCTCAAGCTGTGTTTCTTTTTTCTACAATCATAATGGAACTTGTCAACTACATAGTCTAAGCTTACATAACACGACATTGTGTATCGGACATTTGGATACATCTTACTATGTACGAAAAGGTTAGTTCTTGTGAAGACTCTCAGTAGTCTCAATAGTGAATATGAGTGCAAAAGTTTCTGTTTCTGTTTGGCGAGGTTTTTTTCTTATTTGTTTTATAACTGGAAATGTAAAGACTTAAGTTCATTGAGTCAGCAAGGATACTTTCAATTAGATTTCAAGGAAAGCATGTGTATTGAATTTAGTTAAATTCATAGGAATGTGTACTATCCATCTTATTTTTCTTTTGCTGTTTAATGAAAATATCCTATTGCTTTTTAATACAAAATATTAAGATTTTCAGCAAATTGGCATATTCCTTACATATACGTAAAGTTATTCTTAACAAAATATATGCATGAAAATCGAAGTCTGTTCGATGCTTTTTATGTATACATTTATTTATTTTTGAAAGCTCCGAGAACGAGTTTTTGCCCGCCGTAAAATGCACGAAGCTCATGAAATTTGAGAAAAATATTAAAAGTCTCATTTTGAAATATCTTACATCTTTAAAACCAGTAGCATTGTCCTGCAAAGATTGATAGTACCTTTTTTTCAATTTAAGAAAGGATCTTTGACAATTTGAAAGTTCGCCTCAAACCAATGAATAACAAATGTAAGATTAGGATCAAAAGGAACTGTGTGATCCACGTCAATGTAACAAATACTATCAAACGAATCTTCCATCAACATAAAATTCCTAAAAAGAAAAAAAAACTTTAAGATATAAATAAAAAAAAAAACAACCACTGACAAAGTGTCTGACTTTTCTAAGAAGTACAAGCAAATAATATTTATAAAAAATACCGTATTAAAAAAAATTACTGAAAGCAAGCCCATTGTATTTTACATGCTGATATGAAATAGCGACGTGCTACATTCTAATGGCGGTGGCTGATTCACAAATCAACGTCTTAAACAGTACACGAAGGCACGATGTTGTACAATGCACAAAATATTCCTTTGTCCTCTGTTTTGTTTTTTAACCGCGCGATGAAATATGAACTTTTTATGTGTTTGAAAATTTCATCATATTATTCAATAGATCATTTAAAAGATAAAAACACGAATTTTGGAAGGTTTTTGTAGATATCTTTGGATAAAATATAACAACCGTTTCAAATATTTCACTTTAGATTTAATACCAAAAACCTCAACAACGACATCAGAAACAACCACAACACTATCATTATCATCTCTCGAAAGAACGACCTCGACCTTACAGACAACAAGTAGACAAGTATCATGTGACCAAGGCTGGTTTACGATAGGTACAGGCTGTTACCTGATTTCACCTCCAGATTCTACAAGACAGGTTTGGCAGAATGCGTCGGTAAGAGGCATAAGATGCAAATAACCATCAGTTCCCCGTTAATAACAGATCATTATCATATTAATTATTTTCATTAGATTGTCAAAATCGCAAAAAAATGATTTTTAAAAAATCAAACAAAAGAATTTGAATTTCTCACTTGATTTATTTTGTAATCTTTACTAGAAGTATCGACGATCTTCGGATCTTGTACTTTATCAAATATATGTTATATATAATTACAGGATTTTAACGAACATCTTTTTTTTTCTAATTAAGTGTTGACGAATACTACCACCAAATCAGATCGACTTGTTGTATTACCGATTGTTTGTACGACTTGAAATAAATGCAGAATTTGCTAACCATTCCGGAGCACTTGAGAACACATCGGTTTCAAGTGGGTTCGTATTGCTCAGTCTGTTGTTTGTTTGTCTTTTGTTCGGTTTTCGGTTTTTGCTATGGAGTTGTCAGTTTAATATCTTCGACTTATGAGATTGTTTATCCCTTTGGCATCTTCCGCCTCTCTTTCCTGAATAGCGTACTTTTGTGTCTTATACTTTAGTTTGTGTTCAATGAAAACATATACATTGTAAATGAAATGAGTTTGTAGCATTGGTAGTTTTCGTTTTTTGGTCTTTATGGAGGAATGAAAGCAAAATTGTTCACACGAACTTGTTATATATTTACCAGGTATCTAAGCAATCCTCTAACATGCGTTAGCAATTATCGCACGATCAAGAATCCAGCATTTAGTATTAAAAAATCAAAATACGTGGCGCTTTTGCTTTTGTAGATAAAACAAATTCAGTCAACAGAAGAAACGGATATTAAGCTTTACTTCAAATGTCTGATTATCAAATTCTTCGTTTATTGTGAACTGTATAAAAATCGGTTGAAAAAACAGAACTTGCATGACAAAATGTTTAAAATTTGACATTCAGTTTGCATGATTAAAATAGAATAAAATGTAACAATTTATATTTTAGTACAAGTAATATCTCCATAAACATTACCATACGCAAACAGCTTTAAAACATTGCATTGTAAGAATAATTAAATAAGTAAAATGTTGGAAGTGCTTTCGTCCATTTAACATAAAAATCTGCGAATGATGTAATTGCTTCCCTGTTTCCTCATTTACGTCTGATTACGTGATAAAGAGCATTTACATATTTCTTTTTTTTAACTCCTTAACATGCTACAATTAGCATCTGAACACAATTTATTGTCATAATATGTCCGGACTTTTTCTATTTGAAGAATTTTTAAATAAACATCGCTATATATAAACCGAAACCACTCGATCTATAGGTTTTCTCAATTCCATTTAATGAAAGGTATAATAATGCCAATTGTTTTGATGTTCAGCAGAATACGTTATAAAAACATGAAATTACTTTACTGAGGGATAACCTACATGTAGTTGTAGTCAGAGACTTAAAAGTTTCTCCGAGTATTGCTTGAAAAACCCAGTAGGGGGCGACCATTTGATTTTCGGGGAAAAGGGGAAGAAGATTTTGAAAAATGAATATCCTGGCTTGGTAAAAACTGAAAATAAATAATCTGTTTTAATCAAGTTCAAAGTAATCCTAAATTTTGTAAGAATTAATCAAAATTATATTATCTTGTTCATTATAAAAATAAAAATAAAATTATCTGGCTCATGTATGATAAATAATTTATATAATAACAGAAAAAAATTGAACACTAAAAAACAGGATACAATAGTTTCAATTCAAACGTATATCAAGATGACATTTACTTTATTTCACAAAAATGCCGTTTCAAAAATCAAGTAAAATTCAGTATTGCTCAAAAAAGCGAAATATGTCTTTGGTATCAACTTTAATTTTCTTAAAAAGATGAATATTTATTTCAACGCCATCCAAATATCTGTTATAATTTTGAACTTTATCCAAGGTACAATATGACAAAAACAATCATTTAAGGCAACAAAGGTTTCCAAAAAGTATTACCGTCTACAAAAAAAGAAGTTTTTATCTGTCCTTGTTTGAATAATACAACAATAATTGATGCTAATACCAGGTAGGAATTTCCTATACCTGCTTATAAAGTAATGAATTCGAGGTAAGAAAAAAAAGATACCAGTTATTATATTCAACAAAAATATATATTTCAAATGCATGTTGTACTGTATTCGACTATCACAGTTCTGCACGTTATAACTTTGAAATAATTGAGTATTTTTAACCTTAATATGAAGTTATTAATAGTGTTGTAGGTGTAACACAAACTCACAGCCGAATGTGAAAGTACGAATAAAAATACGAGAAGTTTTAAATGAAAGTGATATACAAGACCATGATCTATGAAAATAACAGACATTGAAAAAGAAAATACCGAGAGAAAATCAATAGCATCCAGGGATGGGCTCGATTACTGACAAATGCTATCGATTAATAATCGATTACTTGAAGGATTTTTGTGTTATCGATTGATAATCGATTACTTTATCAAAAGTAATTACATTACATTTTTTGTACTTTTCGATTACTGTCAATTACATGCTACAAAATTATAAAAAAATATATAAAAAAGTATGTTACACACAATTATGTTGCTTACGTGGCTTGGAAATTCAGACTTTACAAAAACAACATTTAAGCATTGTTTCCAAATTTTATGTAAACAGTTGTTTTCTAGATGGAAGCTCTTACTGAGGATCTGAAATCTTCAAAAGTTTTTGAAATTTTGGTTTTCAACATGAGTGAGTGGTGATAAAGTTCTTGCATTGACTTCGCATTGCATCAATCACTTCTTTATAGTTCAGGTTATTTTGAAAATTTCTGCTGTCGTACTGACTTAAGTTAGGTTTTTTGTTTTTACTCATTATTCACAGGTATATTTATTTGAAAATAGTTCATTACAATGCTGGAAGTATCATCTTAAAAAAATTATTTAAAACGTAGAAGATTTAATTAGTTCAGCTAATTTTAAAGATAGAAATTCATGATTAAAATTGCAAATTTAATGTGCGTATTGTTATGCGTTTACTTTTCTACATTGGCTAGAGGTATAGGGGGAGGCTTGAGATCTCATAAACATGTTTAACCCCGCCGCATTTTTGCGCCTGTCCCAAGTCAGGAGCCTCTAGCATTTGTTAGTCTTGTATTATTTTTAATTTTAGTTTCTTGTGTACAATTTGGAGTTTAGTATGGCGTTCATTATCACTGAACTAGTATATATATTTGTTTAGGGGCCAGCTGAAGGACGCCTCCGGGTGCGGGAATTTCTCGCTGCATTGAAGACCTGTTAGTGACCTTTATGCTGTTGTCTGTTCTATGGTCGGGTTGTTGTCTCTTTGACACATTCCCCATTTCCATTCTCAATTTTATTAATTAATCCTTTTGTTTGGATATCATCCCTAATTACAGGTTATGAATGAAACTGCCAATGAAGTAAGATTTATAACCTGGGGCAATATAAAGTAAATCATTAACTTAATTAGACATAATTGAAATCAAAACCAAGTCTGCATCTGATTGATTAGAAGTCTTTGATCATCTACATATGTAATTAGTAAAGACAAAAATTTTGTTGAGAATTTATTATTCTCTTTTCAAAATTATAAACAGTATATATTTTTAGTGTCAAAGTGGATTACATATATCTATATCTAAACAAGAATTTCAATGCATAGCCATTGATTCTTGTTAAAAGGATTTTGTGTACTTTCTAAATTTTTATATTATAACATAATGACTTATCACTGTTTATCTATTCTAAGCTAAAATTCCAACTCTTATTGAAAATAATGCTTTAAGGAACTTTGATACAAATAAGCTTACTACTACAATGTAGTACAGAACTTAAATTAAAAGAGGGGCGAAAGATACCAGAGGGACATTCAAACTCATAAATCGAAAATAAACTGACAACGCCATGGCTAAAAAAGAAAAGACAAACAGACAAACAATAGTACACAAAATACAACATAGAAAACTAAAGACTAATTTCATATTTTAAATCTATTTTCTTATTTTGATACGATTACCCCATCCCTGATAGCATCACACAAGACTAAAGCAACACAAACTTTTATTTAAAACTTGGGATGAAATCAGGCTTTTGAAGGATAAGCAGATTCTGATCTACTATGTACAGGCACCCGTCTTGTTGCCAATGACAAGTAAACTTCGGTGATAAATCTCATTCGGCGATAAGTCATGAACGAGAAAAAACATAATTTTGATATTACTGGTCATCGCTGACGGAAAATACATTCCATCACAGTCGACCAAATCATGTCATATAAATATACCGGTGGAAGCACTCAATGCCAGGAGAGAACTATGAACATTAAAAAGTCGCTTCGAACCATGTCAAACACGCAAATTCACCTTTCATATTTAGGATTGTTTTAACAAATTAATTGAATGGTTTTTTTTATTGAAAGAAAGTTCTAGTTTCATTTTAAAAACATACTAAACCAATCGATAATATTAACGGTATCAATTTTACTGCATCAGATGCGCATTTCGACAATAAATGTCTCTTTAGTCATGCTCGAGGACAAATATTTTAAACAGAAAACCCAAGTACTTACTACTGGGCTGGTGATACCCTTAGGGACTAACAGTCCACCAGCAGAGGTACAAACTTATTTCTAAACAAAATATACTTTTTTTCCTTTGCAGGAAATTTGCAAAAATAGTGGTGGTTTTCTAGCGGCCATAGAAACTGAAGAAGAAAATCAACTGTTAAAAGAATACGTAGGATCCTTAGGTAATTAAATTGATAATAAAAATTACATTTTTATATATAATATAATAGTATTCAATATGTCAATCATTAGATTTTAAATTTAACCACTTTTTATTATATGCAAATGTATTCAGCATTGACGAATGTTATCCTTATCATTATTATTCATTTACCGTCTTACAAGTTTGACTGTTTAACGGCTATTCAAAAAAGGTTTAACAACACAACTTCTGAATGAAAATACAGTAAAACAAAATTACGATTCATCTTATAATTTTGTGTTTTCTTTATCCTCAATTATTTGTATTCAAATGTATACAGTTATTATGGTCAATTTTCAGACAGCTACACTGTTCGCAAACTTTGAAGGAAGGGGTCAAAATTGAGTCACAGTTTAAACAATGTTTTGCACATGGTCTAGTTGAAATATGCACAAAACGCACAGAATTAACGAAGTGATGAATCTGTGGCATAATTGATGAGTCATTGATTACATATGAACAGGAACTAAGTTATATTTCCCTATCCAATTTTTTTTTTCACAGAATACACAGGCATTCCTTTTTTAGCCCATACGTTTGTTTACATTTTTGTGACAACAAAACGAAGCTTTTATTACATTGTGTGTGTCTTGTAATAGTTTTCATTTAGAACACGAAAAAGGGTCAATACATTTGTAAATTAAAGCACTTCAATTGTGATTGTGGAGTTTTTCTTCCGGTCAGTTTGTAGTATAGCTTAGCATTTTCTATTTCAGTTTTATGGCTGCTAGGTAACCACGATTATTACTGAGTTATAAAATCTTTAGTTTTAAGTTTCAAAAATTATGTATTTATTTCTGTGTTTATGTTTATAGCTAATTCTCATCTAAGAATCAGATGAAGCTCTTACTGAGGATCTGAAATCTTCAAAAGTTTTTGAAATTTTGGTTTTCAACATGAGTGAGTGGTGATAAAGTTCTTGCATTGACTTCGCATTGCATCAATCACTTCTTTATAGTTCAGGTTATTTTGAAAATTTCTGCTGTCGTACTGACTTAAGTTAGGTTTTTTGTTTTTACTCATTATTCACAGGTATATTTATTTGAAAATAGTTCATTACAATGTTGGAAGTATCATCTTAAAAAAAAATTTAAAACGTAGAAGATTTAATTAGTTCAGCTAATTTTAAAGATGGAAATTCATGATTAAAATTGCATGCATGAATTAATCCTTTTGTTTGGATATCCTCCCTAATTACAGGTTATGAATGAAACTGCCAATGAAGTAAAATTTATAACCTGGGGCAATATAAAGTAAATCATTAACTTAATTAGACATAATTGAAATCAAAACCAAGTCTGCATCTGATTGATTAGAAGTCTTTGATCATCTACATATGTAATTAGTAAAGACAAAAATTTTGTTGAGATTTATTATTCTCTTTTCAAAAAAAGTAAAATCAAAAAAATACTGAACTCCGAGGAAAATTCAATCGGAAAGTCCCTAATCATACGGCAAAATCAAATGACAAAACACATCAAACGAATGGACAACAACTGTCATATTCCTGACTTGGTACAGGCATTTTCAAATGTAGAAAACGGTGGATTGAACCTGGTTTTATAGCGCTAAACCTCTCACTTGTACGACAGTCTTATCAAATTCCGTTATATTTACAACGATGCGTGAACAAAACAGACATTATAAATAAAATAGTCAAAATATGGATACAGCAGTCATCACTGTGTTACAATATCAAAACAAACAATTATTTACAAAATTATAAACAGTATATATTTTTAGTGTAAAAGTGGATTACATATATCTATATCTAAACACTTCAATTGTGATTGTGGAGTTTTTCTTCCGGTCACTTTGTAGTATAGCTTAGCATTTTCTATTTCAGTTTTATGGCTGCTAGGTAACCACGATTATTACTGAGTTATAAAATCTTTAGTTTTAAGTTTCAAAAATTATGTATTTATTTCTGTGTTTATGTTTATAGCTAATTCTCATCTAATTTTGGAGGGTTTTTTACGCTTCGGCTATAAATATTTTTTTTGATGCTGTCTGAAATAAAAATAACAATAGTTTGCCAATGTTCAAATCTCTTAAATCTATTAAGAAGATTCTAATCAAGGTAACAGCCAATAACTGAGGGAATCGGGGGAATTCCAAAAGGAACGAGATCGAGTGCCTCGATATAGTAAGCTTTTCCGACTTTGTATGCATCACCGCCTTGCCAATCCATACTCAGATAAATGTCAAAACTGTTTTTCACTTGATGTCAACTCATTTTATGCTGCGCAAAATAATCTCAGGATTGCTATAAGTTTAAAATAAATAATGTTAACACATTTGTATCAACCCACAGGTAGAGAAACACCATTTTAATCGAGTTTATTTTTTCAATGTATTTTTTTTTATCACATCTCAACCAATTTGGCTAATATTGTTTATCAAAGATTTTATTTTCTGAATTTCTATCCATAAACCAAACATCAGCAAATTTGATGGAAAATGGAAGAGAATGTAACCCTTTCCTCAGAATATTCAAATTCGGTTGGTGAAAATTAATAACTATTTTCCTGGCATTTTGGGAATTTATGAGAGATATGTGAAAATTTGTATAACTGGAATCTCAATTTAATGTTTTAATTCCTGACAGTTTCAATGAATGACCTTTTGTTTTCAAAATCAGCCTAAAACGAGAGAACATTTAACGCAAGAATAAATTTTTGGAGAAAGTCTGAAATGAAACATCTGCATTTTCGCTAAAAAGAACAATACTTTTATGTGATGTCTACAATGTAGAATGTTGATTAGCTTTATCAGCTGCGATGTGGACTAATAGGAGACTTCTTTTGACAATTATGACTCCCTTTGTGTCATTCCAAAATTACACATGGCCTACTTCATTATATTCCTCGTCTAGAATAGACCCAGTAAAGATAATGGAGACAAAATCGGCAAGACTTGAGTAAACAAACCGTTACCATAGAAGAAAAGTGACATTTGCTACCCATTATTAACACAACGAAAAGCCAATGAAAACATCTCCGTTTCATATGATATTACAGGATAAGCGACCCAAAGTAACACATTTGTGGTATTACTTACATTCATATCACAACCCTTTCAATGTGAATCTAAACACATTATAACACTTCATGTGGGTAATATATAGCAGTCATACACAATAAATGAAACTTCAAATGACATGTGCTTTTTTCATTTTAAAACAATTAACTGACATGTTTCATCAAAAAGCAATCTCTAGTTGTGTTGTACTGAACCTGATGTTTGGTACTTAAACTTTATTTATATAATAATGACAATATCTGGTTCGAATACAGATATAGTCAGAACTTTAACCTGGATTATAAATATCATGTATAATTGTAGGTGCAACTTCAAAAGATTATTTCATCGGAGGTTCTGATTTACAAACTGAGGGCACTTTTGTATGGGAACATAGCGGTGACCTTGTTAATTTACATGGTAGTGGTTTGTTCCATGACTGGATGTCATTAAATCAGCCAGATAATACCGATGATCTCCATTGCATGGTACTTTATGGACAAGCCAGTCATATGTGGAATGATGTTTCATGTACATACGCTAGGGAATTCATTTGTGAAAAAGACCCATTATGACGTCATATAGTATTATTATTTCATGCAAATATCATTGCAAAAATAATAGTCTAAATACAAGCTAAATGAAGGGTTATTTCAGTGATTTGAGTTTTCCTCAAACTTTTAAACTCAAATCATCAAAATGCATGCGTCTGTTCAAATAAAACAGGATAGTGGAACACAAAAGGAAAATGTCTGGGCGGATAGGCGGAGTACTTACTGCTTGCTATAATATAAAAATTTTATATTATCACAAATAGATGAAATCCAATCAGATTATGAAAGCGTGTAGGCGAAAATAAACATTTCTGGTACCAAAACCGGATTAAAATGAAACATTTTAAAATTCCCCCCCCCCCCCCAAAAAAAACAATTGATAGCAACACTTTCTAAATTTCATGATTCCGAAGCGCTTTTCTGGATTTACCTTCATCGGGAACGCGCAAAGCCGAATATTTATAAGCCAAAAATTAATAAGAACCGGAACAGTTGAAGAGCTATATGATCAAAAGGGACATGAACATAATGGAATAGAAAATGAAAGAATATGGAGTAAATGTACATGGGACAAAATCGAACACAATACATAGAAAACATAGAAAATTATCAATGAACAGGGCTTTTATTCCTGTTCTTCATCTTGACAGTTGATGTAGGGTCTTCAACAATGAACGAATCATTCATACCCTACACCAAGGTCAAGACGGCCCCTAGCGTCGACTTTAGCGGTACTATTGATAAAAATAAACCACAGTTCATCGTCTTGCTCCCCATCCGCCTCGGAGTGTCAACTTGTGCGATGCTTGTGTACGACAGTTCTCCAGTCGAAAGCACCAGGTATACAAGAATAATCCATCTAAGTTGAACTTTGACTGAGGAAATACTTTTTCCCCATTTATATTAAAAGTACAAGATTTGATAACTCTTTGAAGAAATGCCAAACTTTTCACAGATGGAGAAAAAGGAAATATATTTAACCAATTGTGTCAATCTGTATTTACAAACGAAAAATATGATAAAATTCAAGATACAAGTAAAAGCCCCACCTTCAAATGCCATAAGAAGTCATCAATGAAGCGGTTATTTCCAAATTATTGTCAAACTCGATTTAATATAAAGCGCCCTTGTAACATCAATAGCCATATCTTGAAAGAACTGAAGGGAATAGTGTCTTACAATACAAATTAAAAAGTGACTTGAGACTAAAGAAACAACCAAGGATTAGGATCTTGCTCCAGCTTTCAAGAAGAAGAAAACCCGTAAATACAAGCCAATATCCTTAACTGGTAAATGTTTTAAGCTCATGGAGCATGTCGTTACCATAAACATAATGTCTCACATAGAAAACCATCATATCTTATATAAAGTTCAGCATGGTTTTAGAAAATCAAGGTATTCTGAAACCCATCTTATAGATTTCATGCAAGAACTGGCACGCAAGAACAATATAAAGTGACACACAAACAAATCAATCATAATGAACTTTGCTAAAGTGTTCGACAAATTTTTCCATCGTCGCCTCATATATAAGTCGAAAACAAACTGACAATGCCATGGCTAAAAACAAAAGACAACCAAAAGACAAACAACAGTATACAAACACAGCATAGAAAGCTAAAGACTGAGCAACACGAAACCCCACAAAAAACCGGGGGTTATCTCAAGTGCTCCGGAATGGTAAGCGGAACCTAATCCACATGTGCCACCCGTCTTGTTGCTCATGTAAGTACTACCCCGGTGATATTGATTGATTGATTGATGTTTAACGCCACTTTCAGCACTATTGTGCTATTTCGTGGCGGTCAGTTTTTATTGGTGGAGGAAGCCGGATTGCCCGGAGAGAAACACCGACCTTCGTAAATACGCGGTGATAAACTAAACTTCTATGGTGTACAAAATGGTAAACAAAACATTGGATCCAAGCATTTCTATATGACAGAACACAGGCAGTTGTAATCAATGGCATTACTTCCATCTCAGTACCCGTAAATTTTGATGTACCCCTAAGGAACGGTATTAGGTTATTACTGTTCATCTAATACTACATGTGTTAAAAATTACCAACCTGACTATCTATAATACAGCAAGCTTAAACTCTTTGATGATGACAGCATTATTTATTAAGAAATTAAAAAAAAACCAAGTAGATTCCCATAAATTATATAATGATTTAGATGCAGCGTAACGATTTGGATCAGATTGGTTCGTAGTATTTCATCCAAATAAATTTACTAAACTTAAAAAAACCACGTACATGCAGAGTCATATCCTTTACAATAGATTCTTGAACCAGTATAGTGTCTGCAAAATATCCCGGATCCAATGTCTTGTAGCCATTCAAACTCATGTTCATGAACCAACCGACGATTGAAGAAGACGGACATAGAGACATATCCAAACTTCCAATATAAATATAAGAAGGTGTGGTATGATTGCCAATGAGATAACTATCCGCAAGACACCAAATGATGAAGAAGCTAGCAACTACTAGGTCACCGTACGGCCTTCGACAATGAGTAAATTCCATACCGCTAAGCAAGCTAAAAAAGTCCCCGAAATGACAAGCGTAAACAAATTCAAACAAGAAAACTAACGACCTGCTTTATGTAAAAACAATAAACAAAAACAAATAAGATAAAAAGCAACAAACGACAACCACTCAATTACAGGCTCTTGATTTGGGACAGGAACATATATAATGTGGGGGAGGAGGTCAAACATGTTCGCAGTTTTCCTATCATTCCTCTAACCCGGTAAAGTGGTGTAACAGTTCAACATAAGAACAATCTAAAAAAATCAGTTGAAGAGGGCTTATTCATTAGATCACAATACAAAGCACAAAAACACTAGATACAAAGTACAGATCTGAGAGTGCAAGCAGTAACTGTAAGCTAGTTCAAAGCCAATACCAGTCTTTTTTGGTCGCACAATCAAACAATTTGACCTACTCCCTTAGACCAATCTGATTAAAATACATATCCTGTGTCCAAGCTTCCCTTGTAAGGGAAACTTGGACACATTATCTGTTTTTTAATCAGATTCTCCCTTTGACCATGATTAAAACAACTTCTGTTGGCCGCTTCAGATAGCAGCTTACTACAGCTGTTATCTCCAGTTTTAAGTCACTACACCCAAACAAGGAGCTCTGTTTATATATATATTCTCAATATTGAATTGTCACTTTCATAAAAAAATCCAATATAATAAATATGTTAATCATGCATACGCAACAACATATATTCATCCTTATATTGAAGCCTTGTTGAACCTAACAAGAAGAGTTTGTTATACTCAAATACAGCATTTGTAGTTTTGATCAATGTAGATCCATCATAATTATTTTCATAAAATAGTTCTCTAAACCCATTTCGAATTTGACTAAACTATATACTAAAGAAAGTAAAAATACCGAAGGTAAATTCAAAAAGGGGGAAGTCCATAAAAACTCAAACGTTAAACTTTATTAACCAACGAATCGAATGGAAAACACCTGTCATATTCCTGCCTTGGTACAGACATTTTCCGAAGAAAATGGTAAGTTAGAGATAGTTTTATAGCTAGCTAAACCTCCAAAAACAAAGGTATAAAACAATTTACAGTATACATTCTAAAATTCAGACATTTACTTTGTAGCAGCCAATATTAGGTTGTCACTTCAGTATTTTGAATAAGTTTGGATAAATAACTAAACCTTGATTGTGGATCCATTTTATGTTGGGAAATGTTGACCGTTTCAAATGTACTTATTATTATATATGGTACATTTTTCCTATTTATTTTTTATTATTCTTAACCTTCAATGGATGTTGCATTTTTATAATCATGGTTACTATTGATTCAAGCCTGTATTAGTGCCTGTAAAAGATACCATCCGTTAACTCGTCAAATGCATTTCCGAGTTTAAAAGATTAAATACTAGGGAAGGATTAAAGACGGATAAAAAGTTAATACTGTCACACTTTTTACATTCTAACATACAAGAAATTGTCGCACTGAAAATATTTCTACTTGATATTTGTCGGGAAAATTAATTTTCCAGTGTTGCTTTTATAATAACATATTACCAATCATGATATCAATATGTATGCTTTTTATCACATTGTGCTTGTTTTGTTTCCAGTGGTGTAATGTAATTATCTTATAGACATGTAATAGAAATTGCATATGATTGATTTCATCAGACGATAATCACTTCCTTCCACTACTTCGGATTTTTCATGTTATGTTGGAACCCTCTTGTATGTAGGAATCAATAATACACCCAACATCATGACAGCGGTTACAAAGCTGATTGTCAATTTCAACTTTATTTTGAATAAGGATTAAACAATCTGATTATGTAGTAGCCCTTTTTGTTGTCTATACAACATTGTCATTTATTCATGACAATGTCATTCGATATGTTTAAGCATCACTGCTATTTAACACTGTGTACATTGTATACCAATGACATTTTGTCCCGCCTTCTTAAATTGATTGACAACCGTATTTTTTTGAACGTCATACCGGGACACTTTAATACATGGATGCAAAATAAATCCATTAAATTAGAAATAATTTTCAGTAGAAAATCCAAATAAACTACTTTTTCCAATCTATTTCAAAACAAAACAAGCAATGCAATTCTCAAGACATTTAGTCAAACATTTTATCTTTTTTAAAATGCATCCTCTTCCAAAAAAGGGAAAAAATCGTTGCATAACAAAGAAAATTTCAGCATGATATATTTAGTACTGATGTTTCAAATACTTATTCTGGAGTCGTAAATTTTACAGGATCCATTGATTTCATTTAAATATGAAAACAGAGGAGTGATTAGGAGTTGTATAAATATAAGATTACATTGTACTTGCTTGAACTTAGTGCGTATAAAGGGAAAGTTCTCTTTTGCAAAAACGTGCCTCTCTTTGTCGATTGAAATTTATACCTTTTCGCTACGTGCGTGAATATACTTTTGTAAAAGAGGCAATTGTATTTCACACACTAGTCTTAAATGTTAATTTTTACTAAAAA